TAACTCTATAGTTTCCCACATTGGAATTGTCCTTTAAATACCTGTTAGTTTAAAAAAAAAAATTATTTGATAACAGTTACATACATTTGAAAAAAAAATTCATGTATTCATTCCAAAAAATATTACATGCATGTATTCATTCCAAAAAATATTACATGCAAAATAAATTGAAAGGTTTGTTCCTCTCATATGAGAGGCATTTTTTGTGCACATATAAATTTACAGGGTTATTTTCTTTTTTCTTTTTTTTCTTTTTTGAGTCAGAGTCTCACTTTGTCGCCCAGGCTGGAGTGCAGTGGTACGCTCACGACCTCCCCAGTGTCGACCTGCTGGGCTGAGGTGATCCTTCCACCTCAGCCTTTCCAAGTAGCCAGAACTACAGGTGTGTGCTACCAGGCTGGTCTTGAACCCACAGAGTCAGGCAATCCGCTCACCTCGGCCTCCCAAAGTGCTGGGACTACAGGCTTGGCCACCGCGCCCAGCCAACTACAGGGTTATTTTCAACAACCCCATGTATTCTACACTACAGTGAAGATCATGTCCACACATCAAAAGACTTTTTTTTTTTAAAGTTGTGAAACTACCCTCACACAATACCTGGCACACAGCAGTTAAATAGTTTTGTTTTGTTTTTTTATAAAAATCAAAAGCACACAACAGCATTTTTTAGTATTTTTCCTAAAATTCTATTCTTAGTAATTATTACCTGCAAGGCCAGAAGAGAAAGCAAAAAATTACCTTTATTCTTTTATTTTCTGTGTTATTCATATCTATGTTGAATGAATTCTGTTTATAAGACACACCCATAAGAAAACAAACATTAGAAAAAAATAAGTTCAAAGTTTTTATAAATTTAATGGTGGCATAAATGATAGGTGATACACATGGTTAAAGGCATTATCTCTGCCCTTTAGAAGCTTATACTTTGAAAAATACAAAATTATTATGCCAGAAATAAGATTCTTAAACCCAAAGGGAACATCTAATAACGTATTCATTAATTAATTCATAGATTTATTTACACATTCAGATATTTACTGAATATTTGCTGACTATATGATATACATGAAGCAAGAAGAGAAGGGTAAAACAAAATAACTAAGACATCTCCCAGCTCGAGTAGATCCAGTCTGGGTCTCGTTAATAAGCAACAACAACAAAAACTGCTGTAGAATTTTGAAAAAAAAGGAAAAGGGAGTTTGCCCTGTTGCCAGATAATATACATCTCACAGACACTGCCATCACTTTAGATGACTAGTGTGCATGTGATAAACTCTAGATCTCTGGGAGTACTGGGTTAAGTGATTACCAGACATAATTTTTTAACCTGTTCTAGATTTATGCCATAAATTTAATTTACTACCTTATGACACTGGGGTGTCCTTAACCTAAAATAAATAAGTGTTTTCTAGGTATGTTTCCCTTTATAGACATTTCTAACAATATATTAAATTTTATCTTTCACTAAAGAAAAAGGACTTGTTCCCAGAATAGCTAGTTACTTGTACTTTGAAATAAGTCACTCCTTGGTACACTGGTTTCAGATATTAAGCACACACAGAGTTCACCAACTCAGGAGACAGTGGAATTTTCCAACTAAAGAATAGTAAGAATAGAAAATAAAAACTACATTTGGAGAACTGCAGTAAGGAAAAAAAAAGGGTTAAAACTGTGAGAAGACAACAGAGTTGGAAGGCAAGTACTAAGTGGCTAAAAGTAGCAAAACTAATAACGCATAAGAGATTGCAAAGAAGTTGATAAAATGTCAAAGGGTCTAAAATGATTTTGGTAAACATGCTAATAATCTCAGACCAAAATCTTACGATAATATAAAACCTGGTTAGTTGGGGGAAATGGCAAAACTACAATGATAAGTGACCAATTCAAATCAAGTAGGCTCCAGGAATCTGGAGAGAATAAAGAGAAAAGCAAAAGCAGGGAGTCTAAAACTGACAAAACTGTTTCTCAACAAATTAAAATTGCTCATTTTTAGAAAATATGTTCTCAGCTCTAAACTCAACTAAGAAACTTTCAGAACATTGTTGGAATATTCCTATTCCTTGGTCTAACATTCACAAACTGCATGTGGCATTTCAGTTATGGATGTACTGATTTTTAAAATGACTGGAAATTATTTCATATCTTGTTTATCAGAACCTCAAATGTTTCAGAAGAACTAAAGCATTATTCTTCAATATTGGCAACAATATTTTCCATTACAAAAAGTAAGCAGATGTTCCAAATAGGCTTTTAACTTGAAAAAATGATGTGTTGACACTTAGTTGACAATTATTTTCACCTATGCATGAACTCAAATATTTCCCTTTGTCTCCTAGTTTAAGAGAGATTTCCCAAGGTATAAACACTGCCGTGTGTGTGTGTGTCTGTGTGTGTGTGTGTGTGTGTAAAAAAAGTCTGTCCAAATGATAAGTATCTTTGACCTCCTTAAAAACTAAGTAGGCAAGCATTAGATTTTAACCTAGTAAAGAAGATTTTCAAATATCCTCTTACTCTGATGTCAGCTGTTACCCATTACCACTGTTGAGATGTTCACAACAAAGGTCACAGGGTGCCCCAGCCCCTCCTAAAGAAAGGGCAGTGGAAAGAGGCACACATTCACTACTTTATTCTCAATCTCTATTGAACTCTACCCCATGCTGCCAAACTGTATATACATTATAGCTGTATATAAATCTACCAAAGGTTTCAATTAAAGAGGTAACTGGAAGACAGAGTTTTGTTTTAATTGAACTAAAAAAATCTGCGTCAGAATAGTAAACAAATTACTACTACTAAATGTTTTCAAATTTAGCTAGAGTTTCAGTATTACAACAATCTCAATGTTTGTACATGTTTTACCCCATCATGGACACCTGCTTTATTCTCTTTAATCAGGGTAAAGACACTGTAAAGGAGTAAGTGGGCCATAATTAAGAGTTATACTAGAGAAAGATACACTTTACGAGGCTTGAATACTACCCAGATCAAAAACTTCACCACCATTAGTAGGACATTCCTAGTATAGTATATCATTTCTTTTGATGATCCTGCAACCAGAAAAGTTAGATGCTTACAAAGACAATGATCTTCTCAATAATTTCTGACCACCTTCAAAATTAATAAATACTTAATTCTAACTTGACAAGGCACATCAAAGAGCCACATAAAATTTCCTTTATCAATGTATCATATTATGTAAAAAAAATTGCTAAACACCATATTATGGTAAGCAAAAGTCAATTTGAATGTATTAAACTCTAATGTTTGGGAATGGAAAAATCTTGCATTTTTAGATGGAAAGTATTTCCAGAACCCTTTGAGAAATAATATTTTAGAATAAACTATCCATGACTTGGAAAGAAATCAGAATATATATAATACAATATAGATACATATAATATACATAATATTGATGTATATAAAGAGAGTGTTGTTTCCAGATCACTCACAGGAATAGGGAACTGGATAAAAATAACAGCTCTGTATTATTAATAGTTTACATGTCAGGTTTTGTTTGAACTGCAATTCTCATCTTACTGTACACCTAAGGAAGTACTACATACCATACAAGGATCACGTTTTCCCTAGAGACATCACACACACACACACACACACACACACACACCCACCTCATATGTAAAAGCAAGGGACAGCCAGATAATCTCTAAGACAAGGACTCTCAAAGTATAGGTCTGCTTTTCCTATCTCTCAGACTCCTTAGCCTTGACATGGCAGCGAAAAGTTATCTTCATGTGAAACCCAGAGCCTTCACCAAAGCTAGGAACAGAAAAATACGAATGCTAAGATCTCATTCCTAAACTCTTAACACCCTTCAAGAACAAAAGGATAAACCTGACCCCATTAGAAACTCTACATAAAATCAGTGACTAGTCATTAGTCTCTCTCAGTGTCTGAAACTCTGGGAAGGAAAGCAGCCAAACAATCCCTAATTTTCTTGGGAGTTCTGGGTTGGCCTTAAGACCCACAAGGCCATTTTGAGTCAAATCAAGTTGGCAACAAAACATGCATTTCCAAGAACGCAAAAACTCTTATTTTCAATTCCACATTCCCCAGACAGTTCAGGTCACAGTATTCAGCTGAAATAAATGACATCCAAACAAAGGCAGCCTTTTCAAGCCCTTGGAACTATAGGCTTACAACAGAATTTCTTTGCTTCCTCGATCCAAAGACCAGCCAAAGATAACTAAATGGTAAGGTGATCCAGAAACACAGATCCCAATTAAAAAAAAAAAAAAAAACTAGATCCTGGGGCAACCGATAAAGAACAGAGAAATCAAAATGCTCTTTGCCGTTAGTTAAGCCAGGTCAGCACTAGTACTAACACATTTTTATTTTCCTAGACATCAGTATAAGGAGCTATTTTAAAAAAAGCAAAACAAGGTCATCAGCCCCCTTGTCCCCTCGCTCACTGCTTTTTTAAAGAAAATTTTCATAGGAGCTTCCCGTCGGACCGCGCAGGGCAATGCCAAGACTAAACTTTTAAACCTTGAGGAAGGTGGGAAGTCAGCCAGCCAGACGCTGGCCTAGGAAAAGTAGGGAGAGAAATAGGGAAAGAGTCATGTTTCAAAACAAAGGCTCTGCGCGGAACTGAATGTCAACCCCTCCCCATTTCGCAGCCTTCCAGCCAGCTAGGTCTTGAATTTTAACAACAGTGGTCAGTCCGATTCACCCAGCTCTTCAGCGATCACTAAGGGCTTGCCACTCCCGAGAACATTCGCACAGCCACTTGCTGAGGGTGGTGCTCTTGCCCCCCATCCCCTGACAGGATTAAAAACAACCAAACGGGTTTGGGACGCAAGTGACTTGCCCAAGGTCCCACCGTGGAGGCCAAATGCAATTCCCTCCAGGACCGGACCGGGCCCACACCAGGCGCGCGCCGCGCAGGGCCGCAGGCGCCGAAATGCCGACGCCCGCGCCCCGAGAGCCCTCGGCTGGGGAGGGGAGAGGAGCCCCGCGCGCCCTCCCGGCCCGACCCCTACCTTCCTTCACTCCCGGCAGCTTGGACTGATCGATGCCGACTTCGGCCATGTTGGGCCGAGATCCCGGCTGCCGCGCAGCGCCCGCTTCCCGGCCACTGCCGGCCCGGAGCGGGGGCCCGAGCGCAGCAGCAGCAGCGCCGGACGCGGCG